ACCATCCCACAGCACAACACCAAGCACATGAAGCCCCCCCCTTTTTTTGACTTGTTAATAAGGGCTGTCCAAGAGACTCAGAAAACATTGTAGGCTATAAATACGCCTTTGGTTGACCCCCGGAGGTAAAAGTTAAGTCCTTATTGCTGAAAATACTATGCTCTTTGGATACAGGAGCCAGGGGATCTGGGCTAGATCCAAACTGAAAACCTCGGACCTGAGGGCTAGTTCTCATGCTATCAGGAGGGGTCATGCAAGATTCTAAAGGGAGGAAGTAACCAATATTCCTACCCAGCTATGATGCCTGTGAATCACAGCAATGACCAACATGGCACAGCGACTCTAAGGGTGCAGTAGTGGCAATCATGCCTTGGGGACAACCAACAACTGTCTAATTGGAGTTGAGACATGCTCAACAAGAAAGAAGTCAAGCCTGGTACTGGAAACCTAACTCCCTGAGGCTCGTGAAAGCATGGCTCTTGGAGAAGAACTTACAAACGCCACTTTACTAAACCAGCGTAATCCCTACCTACATTATAAATATTTATCCTTATACCCACAGGTAAGTGTAGGCCTCATCCTTCGTAAAGGAAACTTCTCTTACCATCTGATGGAGACCACTACAGAAAACCACTACCAACCAAAATGCAGCGTTGTGGTGGCCAGTCCAAATGAATACATCTGCAACAAAACTCCTGCACCCAAGGCTCATTAAGGAAGAGTCTAAGAGCTAGAGGAACAGGAAGCCTGCTGTGAGGTTACATCTAGAAATGTCAGAAAAACTATACCCATGTCGTCTCATCAACATGGCTATGCAAGATAAACCCTGAGCTCCAGAATTCACAGCTTTGCATTCTGTTCCCAGGTTCGTCAAGTGTTAGCGACATAACTTCACAAGTGAATGAAACTCTCTGACCCTCAGTCACCTCATCTATGGTTGGAGATAAAGATCCAGAGATGGGAGGGAAAAAACAGTGTCTGGCATTCATAGCTATTTAGTTAATGGCAGCTAATTAAAATCAAATGGACTCACCTACTGAAAAATTGCCTGTATTTTATGCGTCTAAGTGCTTGCCTACACATATGTTTATATACCGTGTGTGTGACTGTGCCTGTGGAAGCCAGAAAGGGAACTGGATCCCCTAAGACTAGTATTAAAGATCATTGTAAGCTGCCATGTGGGTTCTGGGAACAGAACCCAGGTCCTCTGAAAGAGCAGCCTGTGCCCCTAACTGCAAAGCAATCTCTCCGTCTTGTCTTTGGCTACTTTTTTTTCTCTCTTCCCTCCTCCTGACCCCCAGCCTTCCCCCCCAACTCACCCTCCATTCCCACCTCCTCCAAGGCATGGTCTCCCATGGGGAGTCAGAAGAGCCTGGTACCTTCAGTTGAGGCAGGTCCAGGACCCCCATCCCTGCATCAAGGCTGCACAAAGTGTCCCACCATAGGCACTAGGCTTCAAAAAGCTGGCTCATGCACCAGTACAGGTCCTGATCCCACTGCCTGGGGGCCCCCTAAACAGTTGAAGCTAAACAACTGTCTCACCTATCCAGAGGGCCAAGACTAGTACCATGGTGGCTCCTCAGCTATTGGCTCACAGTTCATGCATTTCCATTAGTTTGGCCTGGCCATCTCTGTACATTTTCCCATCATGATCTCGATGTTCCTTGCTCATAGAATCCCTCCTCTCTCTCATCGAATGGACTCCTGGAGCTCGGCCTGGCACCCGGCCGTGGATCTCTGCATCTGCTTCCATCAGTCACTGGATGAGGGCTCTATGATGACAGTTAGGGTACCCAGCCATCTGATCACCAGAGTAGGGGTTTTGGCTACTTTTTACTTATATTGCTGTACTCTAGGATGTTCCTATAAAATCCCTCCCAGTGAGGAATTTGCAGACTGTCAAAACTCAATTTCCTCATTTGCAAAATGAATTCATTACTTAATTTGACTGACATGTCTACACAGAGACCACAGTGTGCTAGCAAGTTTTCTAGGCTTTGAGGATACTAGAGCAGTTAAGATAATGGCTTGTTGAGGTTTACATTAAATGACAGAAACAGGGCATAAGTCAAAAAGGCAATTGACTAGAAGAAATGCATGTACATAAAGTAAACAATGCAGCATAGAAGACAGAAATTTTCCGGAAACAAGGTCTGAGATTTTAGACATCGAGAGAAGACTTCCTGGGGAAGTGACATTAGAGGTGAGAGAATAATTTTCATTGAATCCAGGAAGAGGAAACTAAAGCAAAGTTCTCAACGAGGTGGGGGGAGGGAGTCTACTTTTGATGTTCAAGAGAACTAGCACAACTGTGAGTGAGTGGTCAATAAGAAGTGCTCATGGGTCAAGCTGAGTTTGGAGGGAAGCTCAAGCCAGATCATATGTATGTATGGGCTGATTAGCCGTGATGAACAGCTGGATTTCGCTGTGAGTAACTGGAAGCAACTTATCTTAGTTTCTGTTCTACTGCTGTGGGGAGACGCCATAACCAAGGCAACTTAGAATTTATCTGGGGCTTTGCTTACAGTTTCAGAGGGTTAGTCCATGAATGTCATGGTGAGGAGCATGGCGGCAGCCAGGCAGGCATGGCACTGGAGCAGTAGTTGAGAGCTCACATCTGATCAATAAGTTGCAGCCAGAGAGGGATAGACTGGGTCTGGTGTTGGCTTCTGAAAGCTCAAAGTTCACCCCCCAGTAACACACTCCCTCTAACAAGGTCACAACTCCTAATCCTTCCCAAACAGTTCCACTAACTGGGAACCAAACACTCAAACATATGAGTCCATAGGGGCCATTTTAACTACCACACTACTATAACACGTGCACAAGAAATGGTGTGACTTATATTTTTAAACTGTTGCCATGCTAGAGGGGAGAGGAAGTGACAGTGGTTGTCAGTCAGGAAGCCAAATCAAGGGTGTGGTGATCTAGGGAGAGAGGTGGAGATTCGGGTCATGTTATACTGGTTCTGAGCAAGGTAGGATGGGAAAAGTGGGATGAAGATGATGTTTTCAGGTAGACAAAATGGATGGTTTGGCTATAGGATGGAGGAAAAGAAATGCCCTTTGAGTAACAGGGTTTGATGGTGGGCTGATGAGTTCAATTGGAAATGCTTGTTAATTGTCCTGCATGAGATGTCAGGTAGGCAATATGGATCTAGGAGAAGCCCTAGTTGGAGATTATCTTCGGGTGTCTATAGTGAACCAACTATATATCTAAGCCATCTGAACAGATATGATCATTTCAGGAATGATTTTATGGAGAGGAGGAACCCTGCTACTCAATAGACAGGGCTTTGAACTTGTATATTTTAAATAAAATATTACTTGACTTCAAAATGGAAAATTGTGGTGGGCAGAGCTGTGTTGCTTCAGGCTGTGTGTGTATTTGTGGGTTTGAGGCCCTAGGATCCTGCGGGTGGAGCCCTCCCTTCACTTGCCACAGCCCTAAAAAGGTCCAGGTTTGTGTTAGACTTAGAAATTCTAATAAAAAAAATACTAAGAGCAGAAGGCCTGTCCTGTGTCCTCTCTTCCCCTTACGGTTGACCGTTTTCTTCCTGATGCTAGCCAAGGCATCGAAAGGCTTAGGTTGAATTTCACGGTTCTCTTCTGTGGATAAACAAACTTAGAGATTTTTCTTGGTAAGATTCAATTAGAAAACCCACAGATGGAATTATAGACTACCAGAGCTGGAAGCTAACCCAGAGACGTTCTCTTGCGATCTCTCCCATCCTCTGAGAAGTGAGTGATGATGCCTGGAAGAAAAGGGAGCTTGCCCAGGGTAACCTGGAGAGGCAACTGGGCTCTGCCCCTGCATTCTCTAGTTCGACATGTGGTGGAACCAATGTGACACAAACCCTGAAGCTTCTTTTGCAGAGGAGCTTAACAGAGCCGACTTGGTTAAGTGAAGTGAGAGGTATTGAAGAGAGTAAGACGTGTTAGGGCTGCTGAGGGTCTTCATTAAAGGATCTTCCAGTAATTAGAAATTTAACTTTCTTTCAGTGGATGCTAGGATTACTTAGCCTAGAATCTCCGAGTGAGCCTTGGAGTCCCGAATATCTAGGCTCAAGATTCCTGGACTGGGGTTAGGGGGATGCTCGGTCACCAAAACACTTGCTGCACAAACAGGAAGACCTGAGTTCAGCTCTCTGGCACCCATGTAAAAGCTAGTCTTGGTCTGTAAGCCCAATGCTGGGGGCAGGGCAGAGAGGGGATCCCAGATGTTTTCTTATTAGCCAGTCTAGTGGAATGGGTGAGCTGCAGGCTCAGTGACAGACCCTCAAAACATAAGGATCAGAATGATAGAGGAGGCTGCATACCATCAAACTCTGGCCTCCACGTGCAAGTGTGTACACATGAGTGTGAGCCTGCACTAACACACACAGATGATAGACAGACAGACAGACAGACAGACATAGAGAGTTTGATTCCTAGACTTCCTAGAAAGTATATTTGTATGTGCATGCACACATTTTCTGTTTCTGGGCAGAGAGTAAGTATTTACTAGATTATCAAATACCCAACTAAATTCTTGTTGTTTATAAAAATTAACAAACCTGAAAAAAGCCTTGTAGGTAAAAAACAGCTAAATGGTCACTTTAGGCCATGTACTATTTTAATTATAACAGCTTAGTTACCTATTTTCACTAGCTAGTGTATTAAGGCAGATCGTGGAAATAAACTATGTTTCTAGGAAGAATGAAGAAAAACAAGTAAATGGATTAATACAGAGTGAAGAGAAGTACCTATATGTTTCATACCAGGAGATCAGTGGAACAGAATCTTTTTGTGACACTCAGCAAAGTGTGCCTCATGCACCCAACCTCAATGTGCTCGTAGCTCTTTGATATAGTATGGGGTTATTAAATTGTTCTACAAAATGAAAGTCCCAATCTATTGATAATCTATTGGAAGCAATACTTACTTGGCATTTTCTTCCTGTAACAAGGACCTTTATTTTTCTGTGTTATTTTCCTGCTTAACGTCTTATTTTCCTTGCAGGATCCTGTGGGCACTGAAAATCGACACACTCATGCCCATTTCCTGTAATGGACAAACTTGACGCTAATGTGAGGTATGTTACATTTCTGGATCTATGGTGTTGCTCCCAGTGGGAGTTGGTGCTACAAGGCCTCTATAAGTCTGTTGTAGTGGAATTACAAGGTTAAAATGGATGTTCTTAGCTGTACAAACCACAAGTATGGTATACTGTTGGATTATTAGTGCTTCATTACTATGCTTAAATGATAAAACCCAGCTGTTAATATTTCCAGCTGTATGAACCAATAGACACCACTTAAAGGTATATATTCATTTTTGCAATAAGAAAAATGATGCATTTGAATGGAAGTAATATGGCTGAAGATAATCTGTCGGCATCTAAACTTCAGATGTAAAAGTAGCTTTGTCTGACATGTTTTAGTTTACCCACTTCTGTCTTCAGCCAGGGCATCAGATCATGGTTATCTGATACCAGTGGTTAGTATGGTGTATGGACTTATGTTAACCTAAATAGTTTGGCTGTTGCTGTTCTTGTTTCTGTAAAGCTTGGGGATGGGATGTTCTTCCTAGAGGCTTGTTCTGTTTTATTTGGCGTTACCAAGCAGTGCAAAGAAAGTTGTATTTAAGGAGGCTTAAGTGGTCTGCTTCTGTAGCACTGAGGATTATCCACGGGTAACTGCAGATGGAAGGCATCCTAAAGTCACATGCCTTGTGAAATTGCAGGAGCCATTTTTTTTTTCCTTTCACATGAGACTGATGGGAAAGGTATAAATCAGGGGTCCGTCTTCTGGTTTGATGTGGTAGAAACTATGACAGCTGGCTTGACAGGAGCTCTGGCTTGGCCTGACTTGAATGCACTATCTGACAAAGTTAGAGGATCCCTAAAGGGCAGAGTGTGTCTCACGATACAACGCAGCATCGCTGGCACCTGGTGGGTATTGGATAAAGAGCTGTTGATCAGCTAGTCATCAGTGTACAATGCATATTTCAACAGCGTTGTGTTCCAGTTCACCTACATATGAAAAAGGACTATTTAGCAACAACATACCTTGTGCCCTCAGTAGAAGACATAGTGGACTCTGTTATTTACCCAATAGTAAATAACTTGGTGTGGTTATAAGACTCCATGTGGATTTTTAAACCTATTGGCATGTGCTTTACTTCCCTCTCAAAGCTTGTGAGGTCATTTATACAGAGAATACATAATGGGATCCAGAGAACCTCAGTTTTCATTTGTTAACCAAAATCCAGAGTGGGCAATATTGACAATGCAACATTTACAAAACAGCTTTAAGTTCTAGACCTTGGATCAAACAGGGTCAGTTGATTAAAACGCACCACTGGGGGTGATAATTCAGACGTTATGATCCCTTACATTGCTAGCTTTTAGATGTTTATTTATAGCAGCATTAGCTTTGGATGGCAAAACATGATTCTATTAAGTGAACATTAGCTGTTCTCCTGGGATCCTGTGGAACAATGGTGTGGGATTCGAGATGATATCACACCCCAGAATGCTGTCTGTGGACTGTTCTCTCAGTCCATTTTCTAACCGGATCCTATCAACATATGTTCATCCTTACCCACTCCCTCTCTCTACCCACAATATTAGTAACAGGCAAATGTCATGGACTTTATATTCATTTCCTGCTCAGTACAGTCTCTGAGTGTCCATAAAAAAAGGACATTTTGGCTCACGTTTGCCAACTTGTGATGCATATATCATTAGTAATTTTACAATGAACTTAGGTGGTATACCAACAACTTTTTATTACTACAGAGAGCAATATTATTTTGTCACTTATCAAGTAAAATAATTTCCTTTTTATAGAAACATATTGAAATGTGAAAGTGAGTTTATGTAAAGAAAAATTAAATCCAGAAATAATTATTAATAAATTAATATAAACAATCACAATGGTTCAGTATAAATGATGATGTCCGAGCATGTTCTAAGTGTAGCTAGATAGAGTAAATGTTACCCGTTTGAGAAAAGAGGCCAGACTTTCTCCTTTTCAGTTGCTGTCTTCCCATGGAAAGTAAATACATAATGAGGTGAGAGCTAAGGTTCTGGCTCAAGACAGGGAATCTCTTATTTCCTCTGCAGACAGAGGAAAACCAGTGAGGGGAGAAAGTTAGAAGAAAAACAACATTTGGAAGGGAAGTGGCTGGGCTCAGATGGGAAGCAGCTTAGCAACTGATGGTCTTGCAGCTATAACAGACATTGAGATTCGTTATATGTATTAGTGAATATACATAACCTCACTAATGTCACACACACACACACACACACACACACACACACACACACACACACATAAAAACACACACCACAGTGGTATGTGTGTTGAAGCCTCACAGGACTCAGTCTTTCAACATTAACTTGCTGAAAATTGGGTGCTGAATGTTTGCATTGTTGGACATGTGAGATCATTCGTGAGCTATAATGTTGCTTTGTATCACTACATTTAATACATAAGTAATCCCAGGAACTGTATATCATCATTACCAACTTCACAGTGTACGGCAATTAACAAACAAAGGTTACTTATGCTCAGGGTCATGAACTATTCTGTCTTCTTTTATCCTATAACTGTTCCATAAATGACTATATGGTGTGTGTGTGTGTGTGTGTGTGTGTGTGTGTGTGTGTGTGTGTGTGTAAGTTAAAGAGATAGCCGAGGTTATGTTTCTGTTTGAGTAAATATGGAAATATAGTTTGGAAAAAAGAGTGAATATTCAGTAATGGACACCCAAAAGGACGGAGAAGTGTGAGACTACAAATATCTTGGGGGAAATTTCAGAAATAATTTTCACTTTCATGGGCTATGGTAAGATTGAGGAACTCTAATCAAGTCTCACAAAACATGAAGGGGGTGAAGAAGTCTTTGGTTGAATTTAGAGCTAAATATAATAATGTCTTACAGTTTGTCAAACAATATTGACCATTTCAGATTTTGTTCATTTATCTTCATCGAACTGAATTAGCTTCTATGGCTTGGCCCTTGCTATTATCTATCTTCTAGAGTTCTTGGCTAGCAGCATCAGGAACTAACCCTGGCAAAGGTAATTTGGGACCAATTAACAAGAAGCTTAAAAAGTTAAGGCCAAATGTTAGAAGACCATGTTTAAAAATGGACGAAGACTTGAGGAATGGTAGAGGAACCCTGATAGTGAGATATACAGTGAGCCCTGTTCTTCGTGCATTATAAAAAGAATAAGAAGCACTAGATCTTGCTTGTAGAGGCATGAACTGCAGCACAAACACTTTCTCCTGATGACTCTCCAACACAGAGAGCAGAGATTGCAGGATGGCCCAAGACATGATGGAATACCACAGTGAATTAGGATCTGGAAAGTGAGTTCTGACAAGTTCTTCCTTTGATAACTAGTGTCTCACAAATTTTACAGTTAGCTGACACCTTTTCTAAACAATTTGACATCCACAGAATTCAAGGGGTTTTGGCTCCTTTATTTCTTGTGGGGCTTGGAGTAGACAGCAGTATCCTCTTCTGGGGAGGATTGGAAAAGAACAGTATCTCTATAGTTCCTTATAGTTAGGGAGAGGAACTCACCAGTTCTCCCTTCTCTGCAAGACTGGGAAAACATTCAATGCATCTCCAATTGCTCCTTGACTTCAGAGAGCCCAAACTCACTGTTTGTATAACTGCATATGCTTCCACTGATATGTGGTTTTCTTTGGCTCAGGTGTGACCCCTGAAAGCAAGCTGTGTCTCCATTCTTTTCTTCCTGTTGTTTATTACAGGCCAAAGGTGTCTGCTTTCCATGACTTTGTTCTATGAATGTTTAGTTCCAGAAAGTACAGGTTTCAAGGAACCACTGAGTAGATGGAAAAAAAGCTTTGGCATGTCTTGAGATAATGACCCCAGAACTTGAGTAAAAGCAGTCTTCCTTTATATTTAGCTTCTTTGTATTGGTAGCTTCTTGCCACCCTGGATTTACCTCTTTACCTGCTGAGATCTCTGAACTTCTCTCTTTGCTGCCCCAGCAGTCTCCGGAGCTTCTTCCTTCTTCAATAAGGGCAGCCTCATCTGGGATTCTGTTTCTTCTCTTCAAAATGCTTCTGTGTTTTCTTATTAATGTTTCTTATTAGCAAGCAACAAAGCATCCTATGCAGTTAAAAATCATAAATGGCAGAAATTTCCTTCTTTTGCCAGGGTCCAAAAAAAACTGAGAGCCAAACTTACAGTCTGTAAAAGCAAGGATGCATAGGTGTGGGGCTCTCATGTGCATTTATTTTATCTCCCAACTTCTTTTAGACTCTTGGGCTTCATTTGCTTTCTTGATAATGCACCTGCATCTCTGTAGGCTGATTTAAAGAAGGGAGAGAGAAAGAAAGACCAAAAGTTAAGCATTTTAAAAACAAAACACACTGTCTTGATGTAAAAATAGTGTCTTGCTTTATACAACATATGACATTAATTAAAAACCATAACAACATATGACATTAATTAAAAACCGTAACAAAGGTAAGTGGTTGGGTTTGGATTAATCCAGTTGCCATAATGTTGTGGTGTGCTTAGTTACAATTCGTTACTTCAAGACATTGCATTAGTTATCAGTATGACTACAAAAATGTATTGAAATTATCCAATTTTACAAAAGAAAAAAGGGCAACAATTGTGTCAATAGAGAAGTTGGTTTTGGGCTTGATTATTAGTATTGGTAGCAATACACCTTAAGTTTGACAAAAATCTGGGGATGAAGTTAGAATTTTTAATGCTAACTATTTCAAAGTCTTGAAATAATTCACAGACATAAATTGCCCTCCCCAGAGACTTAGCAATATGGAATCAATTTGGAAGTAGGGTTAATTTGTGTTTGTAACCTGGCAATTAGAGTTGGGAACAGGTGCAATGATAAGGCAGGGAGATGTTTTACAGGAAATCTTTCCTCTATCTCTGCAATTGTGACATTCATTAGCATATAAGGAGAAAGTGAGTGGGTATGGTTTCAAAGGAGTTATTTTTATGTTGCTTTAGAGATGTAAATGAGAATAATACTCAACTTTACAGCCCAGCTGACAAGTGGTGAGTTTTCCATTAATTCTTT